ATCTCCCCAAAACCCCAAAACCCCAAAACCCCACTAGTTAGTCTAGTCTGCTAATTTAAAATGAAAAAATCAAAATTTTTTTCCTGGTTAATCTTATATTACTCAATCAGTGTCTTTTAATTCAGGAAACTGGGACTCTTCTAAATTTTAAACTTACTGTCTATTAATAGAGACGTCAGAATTAATTTGATGAGGTTGAATTACTAAAGATGCAGGTGGATAATTGACAGCATTATTATCAGAAATAAGATTCATTCCAGGTACTAAGTTGTTTGGCTGCAACCTATTAGTTACTATATCTTCAATTTATTCCACAACATTTGCTTCAATTTAAGGAATATCATGATATGACACTTAAACTTGATTTTGCTGTACTATTTCCTCACGATGACTCACTTAATTCTATTTAGGCTTTTCATCTAAGTTATCTACTATATTTATTACATGCAGTTGTTCTCTACACATTGGACACTAAAGTCTATTCTCTGTCCATTGATTCAAGCATTTCTCATGAAAAACGTGAGCCTAGTGGCACTTCAAATTTACAATAATTTCTAATTCCTTAAATATATTCAAGCAAATAGTACAAGAATCAACCTTCTCTATTACATCTTTATCAGCTCTATATCTTTATGCTCCTACAAAGGTTTACACTATTTTTCTTATGTTAATATTAGAAGCAGGCCTATCTTTTTATCCTCTGATTAAATCATATATGACTAAGGGAAGTCCTATAGTAAGAATAAATGTAGCACCAATAATAAGACTTGTTAAAGGGAAAGCCAATAAACACCAAGAGAGTGTAAAGAAAATAATCATTAAGATATGGTCGGTATTATTCAATGCTTCGAAATACTCCATGTTTTTCTTCCAATAAAAGGAATACACGATTATATATAAAATGTAGCATCCAACTATTATTGGTATCGCAAACTTAAAAAATCTATTGAAGATAGGATAGAATGGATTCATAGATAAACCATATAACATCTTTTCTTGTTTTGGTCCTCTTTCCTCTTAAGGTAAAGAATTCCAGCTCTTGAAAACCTAGTTTAAAAAGTTTTTGTAATGATCTTTGAAAAATATTATGCATTGAGAATACTATAACCAGGCTAAAACTGTTCCAGCTATTAGATACATCTAGGGATCATTCATGTTTATGATAAGATAAATTCCAAGCACTATCTATCCAATGAAAAGCAAAGGCATGCATATCACACTTGTTCCGACAATAATACGCTCTGCATAAGATTACTAAACTTGCATACTAATAAATGATCAGCTAAAAATGATTAATATGATTGTAATATATAATCATTTATCCACGTATATTTCACTAAATTTATTCTTTTTTTCAATACTAGTTTTCTCAAAATGAAAACTCACGGGGTTTTGGGGTTTTGGGGTTTTGGGG